AGAGCCGACGACTCAGCAGCAGACACCTTATCAACAGGTACAGATCTGATCATTCATTTCTCACTTTTGTTGCTTTTTCTATTTAAAATCATGTAAAGTAGAGGCGGGCAATTCATTTTCTAAGTGGCAACATGAGAAACTGGGACTGTTGTGAAGGGCAGCACCAATAAGCTGAACTATGTATTCATTTTCTCTTTGATTATCGGTGTAGCCCTCCACAACAGTCCCAATTTCAAATGTTGCCATTTGGGAAAATGAATTTCCCACCCCTCATCCAAAGGAAGATGTACTTGTAAAGCCTTAGCCTTTAATCTAAACTATCCCCAGCTTATCTTGCTAATAATTGTTTTATTTATTTATCCTTTTCAGAGTTGAGTCTGGAAAGGCTGGTTGCTTTTCTCCTAAAACAAGCAAAAAAGAAGCTCCACACAAGTCCCTGCGCTTGCGTTTTAGCCTCGGGGGGAAGAGCAGCAAAGACGCTGTAAGTGTGTTGGCCTGATGGAAATCAACCACTTCTCTGGTTTTCCCAGAAACACTGAAAGATTAGTCAAGTGCATTCATGCATAATCTGCAATTAATACATTTGCACATGAGGAGTGATGTGGCATGTATTTGTGCACAGTAGCACTTTTTTATTGTTGTTTTTAATGTACTAAGTTTACTTAAAGTGACTAACTCTAAAACAAGTAATCCATGCAGGACTTTACAGGTAATCGTAATTGTAATATGATGTAATATTACTGACCAAATTGTGATATTTGCATGGTACCAAACAATAGAATGGTGTTTGTTATGCTTAGATTTCAGTGATTTTACTACACTAAGCACTCAGGTGGACGAATGTTAATAAATGTGTGTGTGTGTGTGTGTATGTATATCTATCTATCTAGATATAGATAGATAGTAACCAGTGTTTGAGTACATTGTGTAGGCTGTTTAAGGCTCTATACTAATGCTTTATAGTCATTTGTGTATTCTTGATTTAATAAAAACTTTAAAAAAATCAAAATCAAATGGATTGTTTCTTCTGAGTGATTTTTATCATCCTCTGAAGAACTAACCGCAAAAGTCATGATATTAACATCTTAATGTTACTTTTTGGTTTTTTCTGTGGGATCCTTTTTAACAAAATACTACTCTGACATTTCACCCTCTTTCATTTCTCATTTCATGCCGCTCATAAAGGCTTCTGAGTCCATTGGTTTGCGACTTGCCAAACAGGAGAGCACCACCAGTTTCATTCCATCAGTTCAGCCTGGAAAAACTGAATCCAAGAGTAAGTACCAGACAGCTGAACTTTATGCTTAAAATAAAATATTAAATCTTCTTGTCATGTAATGCATATCAAAAATGTACCTTTCCAGGCTCCAAGTTCATTAGTAAGTCTGAAGACAACTTGCTGACGCCCAGATGTGACTTAAATGCCCACCGAAGCTTGTGGTGTGCGGAGACGCCCGTAGGAGCCCAGGCCTTGAGCGGCGGGTCTTTCACGGATACGCCAATGAACCTGTGTCTTAAAAGCAGCTACATGTCTGAGCCCGCCATCGTCGTGTCCAAGCCCCCAGCAGCAAGCAGCCTTCCCATGAAGTTGTGTTGTGCTTCCAGTGCAGAGAGCCTCGAGAGCGAGAGCTCAATCCCTGAAGCCCAGAGACAAACCGGTCCCACCCTGCTGAAAATCAAGAAGGCCTTCTCAGAGTCTGGAAGTGATCTCCAGGCTGTCATACAGGAGTCCCGCAAAGCCTCAGGAGCAAGTATTTCAAAACCATCCAACATGATCACAGACCCTCCTCCAGAGACTTCAACAGCCAAATCTCTGTCTGTGCCAAGTGAAGCCCCCAGCTTCTGTATGCAGCAGAGCCTTCTGGCTAATGAACAGAGCATTACTTTTGGCCAGATTGAAATTGCTGCTTTGTCTCCTTTGCATATTGATAGTGTAGTTCTTGAGGCTGCTGAATCCCACAGCCCAGTCATCCAGGATGGGAAAGGTTCTCTCTGTGCTGCTCCTGCTGGTGGGAATAACAGCTTCACCGTAGGAGCAGGAGAAAGGGAGATGGAGGAGATGAACTGCAGCAAGTTGATTGATGCTCTGGATATCCAAAGTCCTGCTCACTTCAGACTAGGTGTCTCTTCTGGACGGCAGTCAACTCCATACAAACCAGGTCTTGAACTCCGAAATGAGTTTGTTACACCACCTAAAACTGACGCTGTAGTCAGTGTGTTACATGACAAGAGGGAACTTTCTCCAGAGATTGGTACCAAAGTCCAAAAACAACCAACGTTTTCATCACACAGTCAGGAGGCTGAAAGGCGTCGTGTGGCAGACCACATTCAGCACTTCAACAAGCTCACCATTTATTCTCCCACAGGCTCAAAGAGCAATCAGATCAAGTCGCCGCTTAAATTCCACCGCACCCCTGTGCGTCAGACTGTTCGCAGGATTAACTCTCTCATGGGAGAGAGCAGGAAACCTGTTAGAACTGCAGGTACCATCACCAACCAGCGTGGACAAGTAGCAAAGGCTGTGAGTCTAGAGAGTGGCCTTTCCCCTCACCCGAAACTTCAACCTCACCACGGAGAACACGAGGTGCCATCCAGCCACACGTGCCCTTTACAGAAGCCCCCTCCAGTGCCTCCAAAAAAGTCACGCACCAAGTCCTGTGCGCTGGGCGACGTGACCAACAAGGTCCAATCAAAGACCCAAGTGGACTGCTCAACCAATGAGCCATCAGGAGCTCAGAAGCCTCTGCAGCAGCTAGCCGGGAAGGACATGAACTATTACAGAGGTTCACCCAGAAACCCTCTCAACCAAGGAAGGCTGCTGTCTGCTACGAAGCCTGTCGATTTATAGTGAATATCCATTTGGCCTCTTCTCTCCTTTAACTATGCAGGTGTCTGCTGAGAGTGATGTTAAACGTCCTAACCTATTCATGTTTTCAGGGTCTTAAGTTATTGTCAGCTGTCTAGATGCTGTTTGTGTTATTTTAGGGTCTTATTGGGAGATGTTTGTATGCCTTACATTTGTTTTACTTCAGTAAAACCAATTTAGAAGTTAAGATGTCGACACATATCAGCCTATAAGATTACGTTTAGTTAGTAGTGTGCAGGCGAAATTGTGTAAAATGTGATTGGTGTGACTGGGATGTTTTGATTGAGTCATTATATTTATGCCCTTTTAATGTTAGGTAGATGTTTAGGGGGGGGGGGACTTGACTGAAGTGAAAGGGTTTTTATTCCATATTATTATTGTCATGTCTTGAACAGGGGAAGAAAACATGCACCTTTGTTGGATTTTGTGGGGAGGAAAAAAGCAAACAGTGTTCATGAGATCACATGTCTATTGCAGGCCATTGTTTTTCAAGTCTTCAGCTATTTTTCTTTTCTTTTTTTGTGCTAACTGCATCAGACGAATAAAGTCAAACAGCATGATTTGTTTTGTGGTTGAATAATTTTTGGACTCCGTGCAACCACCAGGGGGAGTGCTACAGCTACTGCAGACAGCTGCAAAGTGAGATACGGCTGCACTGGGATGTTAGCGCAGGCCTCCAGAACGTGTCAGCTGGAAGTTTAGAGTGTTTACACTAACTTCTCCAGATTTAAAATATATTACTTGAGAAATATATGACGTTATTTACAACATTTATTTAAACGTAGTTGAGTTTATATAAAGATTTAAAAAACCGGTTACTATTTTTATTTTTTTGTCCAACATTTTATTTTTTGAGTCAGCAATCTGACTCAAACTGAGAACTAAAGCCCCAGATACTATTAAAAATGTAACATTATGTACTTGACTAACCCGGCATGAAGAAAGCAAATTGACATTGTATCCCCCCCCCCCTGCAGATTCGGAAGCCTTTCCCGATCGGGTGAGGGTTAAAATCATTCCTGGAGATTTATTCCTCAGCCCATTTGGAAGCTTGCCATCCGTGTGTGAGGTATGACTGGACCTGGGGCAGAATGCCACGCTTTAATCTCATGTTGCACTGACCGGAGCGCATGGTCTTTTGGGGGGTTGTTGACTCATGACGTTGTCATGACCCCTAAATACGTCAGATTGGGCAATGGGATGGGGGTATGCTGGGGGAAGGTGGTGCGGCTACTTATCAGCTTCCTTAAAGTTCCCTTTCACAGGGCTGGAATGGTTAAGAAAACTTTAGGGATGCCAGGTTTTTGACAATAAATAAATAAAAATCCGTCAACTGGGTCATTTTAGAGTCACGTCAGCAATTTCTAAAACCATTTACTTTTTAAAAATAAAATAAAAATGAAAAGGCAAACGTTTATGCCTTCAATAATGCCAAACACTAAGGATACAACATCATCTATGAGACTAATCCCAAACTTCCTCTTGAAGATGACTGATTTAAAAAAACACACAAAACAATTGAGCTGATAAAATATGGACTAAGCCGAGATCACGTGACTCGTTTGGGTCATAAATGAACAGGTATTAGTGAAATGATTAAACATATACTCTGGCTTAGGCTACACCACTGCGCTTTTTCTGCGCTTGTACGAAGCAATGCAATTTAAAAAAAAAATGCCTTTAATGATTTTTGTTTTTCTCAGGTCTGTGAAACATGAAGAGCTACCCTTGTTTCAGGCTGGACGTCTATCACCCTGCTGAATGGATGGAAATGGAGTTCGACTAACTGGTGTCTGTAGGTGTTGATTCACAGGTGCTGCATTTTTGCTCATCTTTTAAAGTTTGTCTGTAACTGCATTTGTTTGCTTTAGCAGCTCGAGCTCCGCTTTTCATTTATAGTAGCACATTTACATATAATGCACCGTATTATGGTCGTGTCTTCTTGAAACATGTAAACAAAAACAAACAAACAAAAATCGCACTTTTACTTTTTCCCCCAGTACGCACTCAGCTCCCTCTCCCTCCTTTCACTGTTTCTCGGTTGTCTGTGGGCTAAGGGAAACTGTTGAGGGGGCGGATAGTCTTGATTTTCTCTACATCGTGCTTAGCCAATAACTGCTGTGCACATCTCAGCTGGCAGACATTTAAAAGGGAGACAGTCCGGCGCTGTAGCAATTTGTATTAAACCCCCTGGCCCCTGTCTATGGAGCGCTTAGTCTCCCACCCATCCACAGTCCCACCAGTGCACAGTCGACACCAGTAGGTACCTATCATCTCGAAAGGTGCCGCAGTGAAGCTCGAGGACCAGATCATCGCACTTGTAGCAGCAGTGTTGCATAGCAGGTATTTCTATTTGTTTTTTAAACATCATGATATATAACTTATAGAAATGGTAAAACTGCATGCTTTTCTATCTCTTGCTGCGCAAGTGTGGAGCCACTAACGGTTTACAGGACATGTGACATGGTTTATTACTGTTTTTAGATAAATTCGGCAGGAATATTTTGGAGAATGGATAATTATGGGAACATAATTATATTATTCTGTCATTTATTTGGACTGAGGTGACTCAAATGAATGACTGCTTTTAAACGTCAGCCTCCTTTTCATGTTGTTTCAACAAAGAAGAAATGATGGGGGAAAAGTTCCCTCGGTGCGTTTTTACGCAGCGTAAAAACTATGACAGCTGTGCGTAACCCATGCAGAGCCGAAAACTGTGAGTGACGAACCATTTTCTTTTTCTCTACAAGGATGGCCAACTCCACGCATATCTTCTACAGTATGGTTTTCATCATTGGGCTGCTCTCCTCTCCGGTGGATTCAAAAAGAAACAGAGGTTCACAAGGCGCCATTCCTCATCCTGACAAAAGCAACCCAAACGAATCGGAGCAGCAACCGCAGACTCCGCAGGCGGGCTCGGGCTCTCGCCAGAGGCCGGGCTCATCCTCACCCGCCGACGAAGTGCTGGAGTCCAGCCAGGAAGCTCTACATGTGACGGAGCGCCAGTATTTGAAACGGGACTGGTGCAAAACACAACCTCTCAAACAGACCATCCACGAGGAGGGCTGCGTCAGCCGCACCATCATCAACCGCTTCTGTTACGGACAGTGCAACTCCTTCTACATCCCCAGGCACATCCGGAGGGAGGAGGGCGCCTTCCAGTCCTGTTCGTTTTGTAAACCGAAGCGTTTTACCACCATGACTTTCACATTGAACTGTCCGGACCAGCAGCCGCCCACCAAGAAGAAGCGCATCCAGCGCGTCAAACAGTGTCGCTGCATATCCATAGATCTGGACTAAAACACAGCGATTATGTGTGTGTGTTTCATGTCTTCTTTTTCTTCTCCTTCTTCTTCTTAGTGGACTTGATAGCTGTCTCACAGCCAAGAAATTGTGCTCGTCTCCATCTGGAGATAAGCACCGCACACGCTGATACTTACGTCTCTCCTGTACAGCACGTGAGCCAATATGGACATGCAACTTAAAACAAAATAATTAAAAAAAAAACGTCAAAAGCAACTTGTTACACATCACCAGACTAAAAAAAGATCACTGCACGGAAACTCTTACTTGGAATGGGCATGCTTTACGCACGGCTTCCTCGCCCCCACAGGACTGCAGAACACCGGTTTTATTTAACTGCTCCAAAACAGTCTTTGTGACTGTTAAACGTCTCCGTCCATCCTGCATTTTACGCATATGTGTTTGCTAAACTGGATGTTTCCACTGTGTGGAATTTGATAGGCGAACGACTTTATTTGTAAAAGGAGAAAAATGATTTTATTTCGATATTTCAAGAATCGTTCAAGGTTAACCTAATTGATTTCTGTGAATTTCGAAGTCCATTAGTGAAGTTTTCTTTCTTTTTTTTTTTTTTTTGAAGTTGTGAGCTTACTCAAATATAGAAACTATGGCTTCTGAAGTTAGTTTAAATGGAAGTGTACAGTGGTGGCTTGTACATTACCGAGGTGAAATAGTTGTAAAATGTTAAGCCATTTTTGATGTAACCCATTTCTTTATTCATTTGATTAAATTATCCACGAAAACTAAATAAATGGATGCTGGAATACTGCGAAAATTATCTGCTGTGTTTAAAAAAACAAAAACAAAAAAGCTGAATCCCTCCATTCACCGTTTCCTGCTCCCCTCCTGCACCGAGCCAGGATCTTACCGAGTTACTCGCATTCAGACCCTGGAATATATTTTAAAGTCCGTTTTGGGAAACAAGCTGCAAGTCAGCTATTCCAGCGATCTGCTGAAATGATGGGATTCAATTTCACCGCATCTGGTTACAAGGCTCGCAAATCTGTCAGGTTCTTAAGGGAATTCTCAAGTGTAAATGAAAAGATGTTCTACTAAATGAACATATTTATAAATAAGTGGGTGATGGGGGAAGATTTTAGAACCAGAGGCTTTGTTCTTTAGCCAGTCTACAATAAATACGACTGATGTATTCAGTCACAGTTTGCATTACTTTGGTTCACATGGATGTCAGTTACAGTTGAGGGAGGTCCCAACATTTCATTAAAAAAAGGAAAAAAAAAATCATTTGGAAATTTTCTGATTCTTATTTAATCAACAAAGTTTTTTTTAATGAATATGTAATAACAGTTTTAAATCTCATTCAAATTATTAAAATACCAACCTCATTCAATTTTACATCCATTAAACCGATGTTATGAGAATTTCCTCCCAATTATTTTATTTCAGGAGATTTCCAGGAACCGGCACAACTTCTGACTCAGTTTATTGAACAGTCTGGCTGAATTATGAATCATCGAATGACTCAGGTTCCTTACATAAATATCACATTTTCACAGCGCGGGCCTAAATCGAGGCGTTGACAGAAAACTGAAAGAAGCCGCATTAACATCTCTTTCAAAGTCCACGTCTTCGTCCAAAATAAGCCCCACTTATTCAGCATCCCACAGTTTATTTCTTGAAATTTAAAACAATTCCATAAAATTACAAAGCATTCACATGAGAGCTACTGAAGGTCACATGAACCAACATACATACAGTAGAGGCTACAGCAATTCCTTGGTCAGCATCTGCTCATTTTCTTTATTTTTTATGTTTCTGGTTTTGTTTTTCCAACTCCTCTGGAGTAAAATATAGCAGTTTTAAAGTTTCGACTTATATAGATTTGTATACAAAATAAATGGCACAAGTGAAAGACTTTGGAGGGTAAAAACAAGTAATCGATCGAAGGGGCAGTTTATGGATAGTGTGACGATGAAATCTGAGGTATAACATCTGGTATGGCTCCAGGTGATCATCTTAAATGTTCTCAGTACCCAAAATACAGTCATCATTACTCCAAAATATAAACATTAAACTTTCTGTCTTTATTCTGTGCAAAGCACTCGACTTCCATGAGCACGCTGGAAATCTTTACAACATACATTAAAAAAACAACAACCCATGAATCAACTGACCTATCAAGCAACTTCTTAGTCAATTCAGTTACCAATCAAAATATACAAAACAAAGCTGTTTTTTTTTTCTTTTTGGGAGGGGGGGCATAAAATTATTACTTTGTTACATAAATACAATTTTCTTTAGTGATACAGGAGCATAGCTACATCTTACATTAGTGAAAATAAAGCATGATTTTATTACACTTTTTCTATTTGTTCAAAAATAAAATAAGATTTCATCATGAAGAAATATCATTTATACATTTTCTAACGGGAAACGTTACTCTTGCGTAGGAAAAGGAGGTGCAAAACAGTGAAAGACAGCTGCAAAAACAACGCATGCGGTCAGCATGGGGGGTAAAACGACGTGCAGCAACATACAGCTAAAGCAAGCAGCTTAAAACTGTGTTGGGACAACGTCATGTACAGCATTCACTGAAGGATTAACACGTTCTCTTTAAAACTGCAGGTGAGCCCAAAACCTGTTGTGTCATTCAAAACTATTACTATTATTTTTTCTTAGTCCAATTTTGTGTGAGCCGAGGCTCCGGGCCACATTTGTTGCCAGCTTCTGCTCTCCTCTGGCCGTCACCCAGGAGAGGTCAGTCTGGTGCAGTACAGCAAAACCTCACATTCTTACACATAGGCCCCCCCGCCCCTTTTAAACACGCACTCAACTTCTAGACAATTTCTACACGACGTGTCTTCGTCCGCACTTAAAGCCCAGCATAGATAATCTATCATATTTCCCAAAGCTGTACAGTCCCTGCCAGTTCTACTACATGACATATTTACAAGAGTTTTAATGAGCCGTGGTGAATGAAAAGCTACCCGCTACAGCGAAAGACACAGAAAGTTCTTTCTCCCTGCTCCAAGTGAGAGATCTGTTTTGTCAACAGTGATTTTTTTCTTTCCCAGCAGACACTTGCAGTAAAGCCATATCTGTTTGTAGGTCGACAACAACGTCTAAGAAACACAGCCCGCGCTGGGGCATCGTTTTAACACATACGCCATCTGATACAGTTTGGAAAAGAAACTTTCTCGTGCTTCGGAAGAGGTCCAGAAGGACGCTTGTGGATGTGTCAGCTGGCTCTGCTGTGCATCCCGCTGAACCCTGGAGACCTTTCACAAGCTGGGCACTCAGGGGTCACGCCATGCTGCATGAATGAGGTCAACCCTTTGGCCTTTATGACTCCCCTCGCTGCGGCTGCGGCGGCCAATCGTCTTCGCTAACTGGGGTTGTGCCAAAAAAGCCTCGAAGAGAAGGCGGTGGAGAACAGGGGAAGGGGAGGGGATGTCCAGTGCTGTTAGTGGGGCACAGATACGGTAGTGGGAGTAGTAAAAGTCTGACCATGTTTTATTGTGGGTCCGTACGGTGAACAGAGGGTAGGGTCCAGTGCTGCTGAGGCAGGTGGTAACTGCAGGATGGATGGGCCCCTGCACCCTTCCTGGCGCACCACCGCCGGTCCGTGCTTCTTCTGCTCTGCCACTTATCATTCTGCTCAGCTGGAGGACACGCTGGCTTCCTTCTGTCGCAGCCTCTCCTTCTGTTGGCAAGAACCACAAAAAGATTCAGCGCATCGATTTCAGCTGCGACACAAGAAAGAGCGGCTTTTGGGAAATTCCATTTGGTCTCTGAATACAGATCAGCTCTCACCAGACTGTTGGCATTGATCTTCTTGGTTTCGACTCTCTTCTCTGCTGTGATCTTCTTGATGTTTTCTTGGGCTTCCTTCAACCTATGGAAAGAAGAAAGAGACCAGCAAGGCTCAACATTATCAGACAGTTAAAAGAAGTACACAATGAAACTTCTGCAAATCAATTGGGAACCAAGTGTAACCAGATCAAATACAAAGCCTCTCATCCTTGCACTCTTGTGAATTTGTTTATAAGAGCAAGACATTTAAATATCTTCCTGGGGCACCACAGAGCCATGCCGTGCCCCCCCAGCCACACAAACACACACTCTCTCTGATCCACTCTGGAGTTTGCGGTCAGTGAAAGCCCTTTAAGTGGGAATGAGCAGAGAATGACAGCAGCTTGATGAGATAATGAGGCAACCTTAAAAAAAACAAACACTTGGCTTTTTATGGGATCACAAACAGTATTTAAAATAAAGTTAAATGTACATAAGCACAATCAGCTGCGAGCAACAAGCGGCACGATTACCTAGTAAACAGGGAAACCATGTGATACTTAATGTGGCATAAAAATGACCACACAGTCTCTGTGGACAGCGAGAGCTCACCGCCTCCTTCGAGCTTAGCATCGCTACGGTGTTTATCAGTTCTCTAATAACACGCAGCCTTTAAACCACCACAGGCCACTGTCCGCTTGCCGGTCCTTTTTCTGGAACCCCCCAGCCCACTACCAATTACGCCTCAGGTCAGAGGAAACATAAATTCAGGCCCCTGTTGCAGGACCAAGGCCTCAGCTACTCCCCCATTCACCTCCTCTTTGATGGCCTCCCTCCTTGCTTTAATTACAACCCGGCATCTGCACATCACCCTTGTACAATTAGTGCTAATTTGACATGATGTCCAGAGGTGTTAAGCACCAATCCGAAGGTGACAGAAACAAAGAAGTCTAATCTGAAATGATCATGTTTTGAGTCTTGCAAAGTTTTACATTCCCTTCCTGACATTAGTTGTTTTTTTTAGAATGATTATTTCTAGCATACTCACAGAAAACAGGGAAAATTCAGTCACTTTTTTTTTTTAAAGATTGTTGGATTATTCAGTAACCCTAATAACGCCCTTCCTGACTCCTTTCTCCTGATTTCTTCTGAGACTTAACCCAGTAGTGGTACCAGCTCACCTCTCCTTGGAGATGTTCTTGCTTTGCCGTATCCAAGTGTTCTTGAAATCGTTGCAGAATTCGTACCAAAGCATAAAGATGTAACTCGGAGCTACTTCTTTCTCCCCGGACTTTGGCTTAACACCAAAGTAGTTCACCACGTCCTGGAAACTGTAGGGAGGGGTGGAAACACAGCAAAGGCTCAAACAGTGTTGTCTTATCACACATAAATAATCTCAGATTTTGACTGAAAGTATGTTTTTGTGAACTAATCTGGATTTTAAACAACATTAGAAAGTACAAGGCAGTTACGGTATGTAAACCCGTGAAACCAGAGAGAGCGAGAGAGGAAAAGAGTTTAAAATAGTAAAATGTAGAGAGAAAATGATGGATTTAGAGTCAGCAGGAGAGGTGAGAAACAGAGCTGGAAGGAGAGCGTCCACCCTGCTGGGCCACAGGGGAGAGCCAGTAGCGGCGGCTCCATTATCACATTGACCTCCACAGCCTGCATGGGAAGACTGCCAGAAGAGATGAAGACAGCCAAGAACAGGCTCCTATTCCTCCAAACACACCTTCTGTCTCTCTCACAAACACGTACGTTTTCACATATTAGTGAGGACTTTAAATTCACATATGCTTTTCCCAGCCTCCTACCTTAACCACCAGAAATGAATGCCTAACTCTAACCATGACTTAAATGTAACTTCAGCTGTAAAACCATATTTTGAGCCTCAAACATGCCTTCAAATTTGTGAGCTCAGCATTTTGTCCCGACAAGTGACTGTTGGTCCCTACAAGTATAGTGGTCCTAGAAACACATTTAAACAAGTATACACACGACACACACACACACACACACACACACACACACGCCACTATGCAACTCACAACCACAAAAACATGTTCACTGGCAGACAAATCAAAGACGGGAATGCACGCATAAACACACAAAGACAAATCAGAGGAATAAATGTAGTCTGGATTTTTGAGGGTGTTTCTACTCACTGAGCTACAACACTGTTTAAGGCCAGCTCCTCAGCTTAATTCAATTGTAACCAAATCTGAAGTCTTCGCAAGGCTCTCAGCGGCACACACGAGGCAAGGAAAGCAGCCTGCTGCTTCAGATTCCCCCTTCTCTAACCCAAACATGAAAGACATTTTCTGGCCTGTGCCTGTCCAAAAAAAAAACAAAAAAAACGGGGGTTGATAAAAGGGAGCCATGATTCAAGGGATGCTCTCCTGTCCCACTGACGCCCAAATACGCTCTGACCTCCAGATGCTAGGTGGCTTTTGTGCGACGCTAATCTGAGACAAGTTCACTTGGAGTCAAATGGTGCACAATATGGTGACCAGACGGCCAGCTACAAGTTGGGAAAAAAAGAAAGAAAAGTTTTTGCATGAGTCTGCTTCCCATTTCCAAGTGATGCGTCATTTTTGCTGGGATGCACAAAAACAGGAGAGCGCTGTAGATCATCCTGTAATCTAAAGAAGCAGCTAGAAGAAGAAAATGTTCCAAGATGTTTAGATTGACCAAAACAGACGTGCTGTCACAGGCAGCTTTGTTGTCTGCTCTGGCATGACGAACTGGGTCTCTTCTCCACCGGCTCGTCTCTTGACCCTGGGTCATCATGTCAAAAGCGTGCACTTAATCAGAGCAACAAGCTTTTCTTTTTAGCCTCATGAGCAAGCAGAAACAAGCCGATACACAAAGCCTCACTCAAAACAGATGCAAACACTCTCGCACATACCTAGAAAACAAACAAAATCAAGCGGACCTTTGTTCATTTTGCCATCGCAGGCTGATTTCACTTTTGCACATATGACGACATGTCAGTAATCCACGCTATGATGCCATTGCCGTGAGAGGGTTTTACTGCAGCGCCCACAGCTCAGCATTCCTCACTGACAGCTATAAAAAAAGACCCATTACAAAACCATGAACAGACGTGAGAATCAGCAAAGTATTTAGACAGGCAACTCTGCATTCCTATGTTTTGGCAGCAAAAAGATTACAGGCGTAAACCCCGTGTTGTTGGCTGATTCAGCAGAGGCACAAAGCGGAGGCCATCTTTTCATATGTAATGACGGAGTAGAGTAATATACCAACTAACAGCAGCAAAACCATAACTGCACAATGACTATAGAGTTGGCACTTGGGCCAAATGAAATTGAGCATGATGGGGAGGCTTAATGAGACGGAACTGAGGACAGAACCAGAAAACCTCAGTGGAGCCCAAACACGAAGCAGACAAATTAGGAGTGCGTGTTGAGGAAAAGGCTTCAGCGCTCACTATGGACAGATGAGAAAAAAACCCCAAACATTTTTGCTAAATTAGTTTTGAGTTACTTCATTAAAAACTCACAAGCCATTGCATCTTTTCGTGTGTGCTATTTTAACTGTTAAGCTGACTCAAATGTTGCAACTTTTGTTGCTCCAATCACATTTCAGGCGTCTAGGCTGTCTAGCATACATGATTGTTTACTCTCTAAGTGGTTTTATTGGGTCTTCATTAAGTCTGTTGACTTTTTTTAATGTATAAAAGGCATACTAGGGAGCAAATGCAGTATATAGGGCAAAAACAGTTGCTGTACAATTCCAATGAGCTTGAACCCACAGCCTCTGTCAGGAAGCTTCCTTGTCATTTCTTTAAGCAGTCTTCAGGCTTCTTGAAGGACATTCAAAGTGCTTCTTTGGATATCATCTACCTTTTCTTTCATTCTCTATCAAAATGATCCCACGCTGTCTCAATAATGTGGCGGTCTGGGTCAAACCATTACTGATAGAGTTCCTTTGTTTTTTCTATGTAGGCATGCTTGTAATGCCTTGAGAGTTTCCTCAAAATTTTTTTAACGACACACTTAAGCTAACAGCTCTTTGCTAATGACCATGTTGGTGGTGCACAAATACTATTTTATGTCTGTCAAACTGTTTTATCTTTTTCACAAATTAAAGAAATAAAAGCAAATGATGTGTTTTTGCAACAGGCTGCTGTTTACAAAGTGCCTAAAGATGGAGGGTGGCCAAAGTTTCTGCACAGAACTGCATGTGTGTCGATGACACATTTGGTTTATAATTTTATATGTGCGAATTCTCAAAACCATCTTGTTTAAATAAAGGTTACATTAAAAAAAGAAACTCAAACTAAAACCTCATGACTGATGACAGCTGTTATGCAGCTGCATGGCTGTTAATAAAATGTATGTATATGCAAGTATGACAATGATTACCTGCATCAAACATGGTTATATTATATTGAAAGATATCTCTTTTTCCCCCTTTAACAAAAAGCGACAAGAAGCAATAAAGTCCAAATAACAGATGAACCATCATCACCAATGAATGCGAGCTGTGACTCATCCCAGGAGACGGTCTAAGGAGAGGGGACAGATTGTGATGTGCGATCTAACAAAATGTACAAAGTAATTGATCTGACTGCTCTCCGATGAGGGTTGTTTGTTCTTGTTCTGCTGTATGTCTACTGTATCGACACATTAGGTCACTGAGAGAAACAAATAACATGTGTTCACAAGCCTGGTTAATAAAAGCTCAACGTTGTAGCCATGACAGAAGATTCTACACATCTTAAGCCACGAAACATAGAAGATCTGTCAGCCACCTGAGCCGTGAACTGGGTGAAAAACTTCCACCAATTACGTATCAGGCCAAATATGAAATATGGACATAATCCAGCCCTCTGCTGAGTTATAGCGGTCAGTATTGGCCACTTGACCCTTGATCTTTTGGGTATAAAATGTCATGGCATCATCACTTCATCCAACTGGACATTTGCTTGAAATTGTTTCATAATTGCCGCAAGAGTTCTTGCATTACAGCCAAAAATGTGTTTTTTTCTGAGGTCACAGTGACTTTGATTAACAAAATGCACTCGGTTCACATTTGAGGCCAAGTGGGTCCGTGTGCCAAATTTGAAGAAATGTACTTGTACTCATGACGCTTCCGAAAGGTTGCGCTCTCGAGGACGGGAGAGGGCAAAGGACAAGCCGGAAACATACGAGGCCGATATGGAGGCTCGGTGACCGTTAACAGCAACATCTTCTGTGAAATCATGCTCAGGTTTGACATCTAGCCCCAATTCTTGTCAAAATCCTAATTCACATTTCCCAGTCGATGCCTGCTGTGTGTGTGTGCGTGCGAGCTTCAACTCAGAGGCGTTTAAACTCTGAATCCTCATGAGGTCTAGACTGAGGTATTAGGTAGCACTAAGGATGTGTTGTCTATTTCTTTTATTAACACAAGCCTTAATCTCAACACTGCTGCTGTTATGCCTTTGTGTGAGGATCCCTCATCCAGCACAGATGTGAGAGCCCACCCAGGGCCCAGAGAGCCCTCTGACGCCCATATTCATCAATGGCGTGTCACTTTTACGAGGTGGCTCTGTGGGAACCTGAGAAAGACCCCTGCCTCCCTCTCGCTCTACCTAGCACCAGTCAGCCAGCCCCCTCTTTAGATGAAATTAAAGGAAAACTTCATTAAAGCTAAAGGTGCTGTCAGCTGCGGGGCCCTTTTGATCAATATTCCCCTCCAAGTTCAACACCTTCATTACAGCGGTGTCACTCATTCACAAGGGGGGTGCAGACAAAGGCACGCGCGTGCGCACGTTTTGGTCTGGTTCAACAGAAACATCGCTATATGGCGAGGGTGGGGCCGGGGAGGAGGAGAGGTGTAGCCATTCTCTCGGTGATTATCTTGGCTCAAAGCAGCAACATGAAACAGAACAGCTCGGGGCCATTTGCTGAGTGATAGTGTTGTCCAAAGCAATCAACTTTCTAATTGTTTATAGTTTACATTTACTCGCGTCCGGAGCCTTTCGCTTTCTCCTTTATGCACTTTTCTTGATTTATTTTGGAAGCGGGCGAGTTACGATATAAAGCAAACAATCCCGCTCGCTATCCAAACACGGTAAAAAATAATCTATTTGCTTTGTTTGTCTGCTCCACCATCTTTTTCCAATATGATACGTTCCAGATATGATTTCTCTCGGACGGCGAGCTCAGCAGCTGCCGGTGGGTCTCGCGCCTATAAATCTGATGCCTCTCAGAAAACTCTCAGGAGTCTTCTGCACAAAACATGGCAGATAAGAATGATTGGAACTGCAAGGGAGGAAGCACAGAGGATCCAGTGAAAGTACGTGGGTGATAAGCCCAAGACATGTTGCTTAACTGTCTTAAAGATAAATAACTCAAATAATCTCTCCTTGTGCACGTATGAATGTGTGCCCAATCTTCAACAATAAATGTGAAATATGCATCATCTTATACCTGTCCAACGAATGGCCGCCTCACTCATCAAAGTGCTTACGTGCCGAGACTGGTGCATCTTTGCAGAATCCTTAATATGTGCATACAGCTATATGCATAGAAAGCATTAGTTATCAGATACCACAAACTTTATCTCCTCATATTGAGGTTTGCTACATTACTCACAGCTGTGTGGCGCCTGCAATCACTAACACTTGGCAAACTTCCCTGTGTTGATGGGAAAATATGATTTTTTGTTTGTTCCAGTGTAACTTTTCCTCCAACATTTATTAGCTTGTAGCTGTTACAGTGCATTTCCCACCTCTTCTGTGCTGCATTAAGTTGGTCCTCTTCAGCAGAATGCTCCTTTTGAGCTGCAAAAAACACAGAAAGAAAACATTCAGACAGGTCATGGGGCAAAATATGAGGCTTGTGTAGACACTGCTAACCAAATGTTTCATTAAAAGCGGACTCCAGAGGGGGGCGCTGTGTTCATTAATCATCCTCAAAGCTGAGGGGAGAAGAAGAAGGGCTGTGGGGGTTGAGATGTCACTGACAGTGAGCATGTTATCCAAGCAACTGTTAAGCACTTTGTAAAGTCTGACATTACTTCTGTGTGTTTGTGCACGCGAGTCCCCACGAGAGCGAATCCTCACCTCAGCCTCAGGATGGTGGTCCGTTTGCTGAGGTGTGCGTGTCTGTGTGTGTGTTGTCGATGCAGTGCTGAAGCCGGGGTGGAGGGCTGAGCGGAGAGGCTTGGGAACTGGAGGCTCCTGTGGACTCCTGCCATGTAAAAGTGTCTAAATGCAAGGCAGATGTGTGCGGCGGGCCAGGCCGAGGTGCAAGAATTTATCTAGGGCCAGAGAGTGCCTGTGATCTCAGATTTATAGCATTTTTCCAGATTCATCCTTTTTACAATGATGGGGGACCTTTCCTACTTGAAGATTTAAGAGGGGGAAGTCTCCAAAAAATTGTTCAAAGGCAGGTTTGGGGGTCTTCTGGGAGAAGGTGAACTAAAGCCTTCGATCAACCACCCGGTTTACTTTTCATCTCTCTCTCTCTTTTTTTTTTTTTTTTTTAAACATGTATGTGGGCAAGAGGGTTAAGGTAAACCTAATGAAGGGGGGGTGGCAATGTCTGGGATAAAGGGAGGTGGTGGGGGGGAGAGGAGTGGGGCCGTGACCAATGGCGTTAGTCTCAGTGGGGGTCAGGCTGGCGCCTGAGGTACCCCTCTGGTGCGACTTTGCAGAGGTGGCACAGGAGTCGGGAGGGAGGGTTCAGGGAGAGCGAGAGAGAGATTGGCTCAGAGAGGGAGAGGATGTGTGAAGTTTCTCTTCCTCCGCTCCCCCGTGCAAACATGAAACCACTAGTCGCTAACTAGAAAGTTATGAGACGCGCATGCTGAGAAGGACAATAAAGCGAGGCTTTAAAACTCTGACACACTTTTCCAAACTGCCGCTTTACCTCGCAGCCAGATGACAAAGAGATGTAGAGCAGTCTGAGAGGGGATGCTGGAGATATAAAAACAAACCAAACACCCCTTTTCACCCCCGAACAACTCCTCTAACAGAACAGAGACACATCTCAAAGACTTTAGATTAGAAGTGGCTCCTTGGACAGTTGTTAAGCGCAAATTTCACTTCATCTACGTAATTCACAGGCAGTCTGAGCGAGTGGAGTTTTGGTTACTGACTCACTAACAACAAAGGAAGCGCGAGGAGGTGATGATACGCACGCATTTTCTGAGGAGAGACGGTGAAGATAAAAAAACGAAAAAAGGCGCAGGAATTTGTTTTCAATTAGTCACGGTGTATATTCAACATGAAAAATATGCCAGTGTCAGAATCCCCAGAGGTTTCAAAGAGCGTCCAATAAAACGGCAAAGAAAAAAAAAAGTGGTTGATTAGATGTGTTTAAAAAGAAAAAGCGTTACCTGGATTTTTATTTTAAGATTAAACAAAGGAAACAAACAGAAGCGTATTCCAGAAAATCAGTATACAGGATGAAATAGATATAAAATTTAAGGTTGGACATATGACGGAGAAATTAAAATAAAAGAACAAGCAAATTCCAGAGGATAAGGTTACAGGATACATTATTTTTAATGGAAGTCTCGTAATTATGGTTACATACTGCCGTTCAGGTAGAAAGCCTTTGAGACACGAGGGCTCAGCTGGCTCACTGCTCAGTTTCTAGAACCACAGTATCCATTTATGCAGGCACCACCAGGCCTAAGGATGTGATCACAATATTAAAGCTACCACTGTTGCCTCACTTCAGTTAGTGAAAGTGGTTTAAATCAGATGTGGTGGAATTCCCTACACTTTGCTTTTTGGGTCATTTCCAGGAATTCTCATCACCCTAAAGCAGGGATATCAAACATTAGCTCCACTCCGATCCACTGGATAGCCTCGGGAAATGTGGAGGGGGGTATACATTTTGGACTTTTTAGTTTTACATCTTTTTCTACTGATAAAGACCTCCCACACAGACATTTATACTATGCCAAAGTAATTAAGTAATGATTAATGAACCACTTAATGACAAAACAGTTTCCGTTTTTTCACCATCTACTGTAGAAACTTATGTTGTTTTTAAGTGGATCCACAGTGAATACCATAATAAATGTTCTGGAAATTAATACAATTCCAGCATAGTTTGTGCAATAATATACCAGAACTATTTCTGCAGTTTTACACATTAATTTTGTCATTTCTAAGCTTGAAGAGTCGTGCTGAGAGATTTATTTTATTTACAGCAGAATTTGGTTTGATGAAATTGCACAGCTTATTCTTATATTAAGAAATCTGAAGCATTAAAATGTGCAGTTAAACTCTTTACACCGTCAAAAAGTGGAGTTTTACTGCTTCGGCCCACTTAAGTGAGCTATATGTGGCCCATTGTGTAAAATGAGTTTGACAAGCGAACACTAGAGGACTTTGCTAATGCGTGGGTCAGAAAGGAGACAAGATGGTCCGAGTTTGTCAGTGCAGATCTGCTCCTGGTCCCTAAGAGTGATCCACCGAGGCGAGTCGGCTTTATTAGGCCACAGCTAAGGATGTCCTGCCAGCTTTATGGAACCCACGAGTACATAGGACCCATGTTAAACGCAACGTGATCTCTTCTACAGGCCTGTAGACTCCTGTCCTCATGCTGTCTTACAGGGCACCGAGACGCCCCTTCTCAGCAAGAACAAAAACACCCATGTTCACCAGGAGACGGGTTCTCTACCAACGAGCTGACTGTCTGACGTAGCAAAAACCCCCAAAAAACAAAACGTAATTACAGCTCCCCGTTTTAAAAAGGACTCATGCTGTGTGTCAGGGTGAAAACGGGGCCTTTCTGTCTCCCGGAGCTCGGTTTTGCAGCCATCTCACTGGTTGTAAATCATCTCTCCAAATGATTGTTTTATTTTTTAAAACACCTTCACATGAGCCAGGCCCACTCATGAGCACGAGTGAGGGCAAACACCCATTATGGCTATCGGAGGGAAAGGACTTCAGTGTCATTTAAAGGGAGCGGGAAAGATTAAACAACGTATCCCTCATCTTAATTTAACAGCAGCAGGAAATGGTTACTGCTGAACATTTGGAAAGGAAAGCCAAGGTTTACACGCACATCACAATAGTAATTGTACTAATTTAAATAGTAATCTTTGTGTTCTGTTTTGGCAAATATTTAGTGTTGATAATGAAGACTGTGGACATTATTTTTGGAGGATTCTTATAGGTAAAAGCAGCCATGTGAAATGAGACATTCCTCAGAAAAAACACACGTATTTACATGATCATGGCACTTAAGAGTAAAACTACAAAGAGAAGAAAAATAAGGAACATTTCTTTCCTTGTTTTAGATAAACAGGAACATGTTAACTTCACCCACCAGCACAGACGAATCCCTCCATCTTGTCCTTGAAAGGCTGCAGGTGTTCTTCTGATGAGTTAGCGCAGACTTTCTGCACATCCTTCTCACACGCTAGAAGAAGGAAAGAACAAAGAAAGAAAAAAGAGATGAAAGAAGGGCCTAAAGTGAGACGAATAAAGTTAAAGTGTGTCTATCATTCAGGGCTGAAATTTATTCAGCTTGTGTTTCTATGAGTTTTTTTTGTATCCTCTCATTTTAAGACAAGGATCTAAAAGGAGTTCTGATTCCTGGTAATCAGGATAAAAAAATGAACTGACAGACATTAAATAAAAAACTTTACACTACATTTGCTTGGAACAACATTTTTTATAATAAAGTTTTGCACATGTAAGTAAAGTAAATGCCACTAGAACAGTGCTCTGAAAAGATTGCAATGCATTGCACCGTTTTTTCATCTTTATAAAATACAAATATTCAGAGTGTAATGCATAGATGTTTTTGCCTGTAATGTTTGGCCTTAAACGAGTGCTTACAGTAAGCACAAAGCTGCGCTTTTCTTTTGTCCTCTAGTTTTCTCACCCATCCTCAGATTTCCCACCCCGCGCCTCGAGTTACGCATCAGGCACATGCCAGTTTGCATATTGTCGAGGTTTATTTAAAACTAGTTTACACAATGGTGACCATTTCATTTGTATTCTACCTTCAGCGCTGGACACATGTGTGAGCGGAGCAGATGTGTTTGCTGTTTGTGGATGCCCCCCCCCTCTGCCGTGCCAAATGATCCAACTCACACAAGTTCAGAGGAAACAGCCGTGAGTGAGCGTGTTCCAGCCGAACCTTTCCCCATTTCCTCTCAACTGTAACTACACACACATAGACGCCTGGCAAAAAGACCTTTGCACAATCCTTCAACCTGTAAGTCATTAATGGCAGCAATAAATACCTAAACTTGCTTATGACAGCATAGCTAAATAGTTCTGCAACAGAACAAGAGCATTAACAGGTCTGGCCGCAGTCTAACTTCACTGTGTCGCCGCTTTAACATCTCAGTTTGGCTCTCGTGCGTTTGCATGCGGAGCTGCCGCACCTGTAGTCCGGTAAACCCGCTCTATTGCTTGGTTTTATTTACTGGGTGTCTTATTAAACGAGACAGGAAGCACGACATCCCAGCATTAAAACTGAGACGCAACTACGTCAACAGCCGCTCGTTCTGGAATCCAGGGCTCTATTTAAAAGTGGGAGCCAGCAGTTATTCAAATAAAAAGACAGAACTCAGCAAGCACACAAACATGACAACCAAAATATCCTGTTTGGACAAACCACGTTTCCTTAACAAAAATCCCCCGACTCAAAAAGACCCATTAAAAAAAAGTGTTCAAAACAGCAAGTCTACAATTTAGAGGCGGCTCGCTTCCAAATGTGGTCCAGACAGCAAAGGCCGCAAGGAGGAAGCCCACAAAAACACAACAGCTGTAAAGAATAAAAGCCCAGGGCTCGGGTTTGAGACATTGTCTTGGAGTGATAATACATTTTTTGGAAAAAAGTGCATTCAGGAGGAGGACTCTCCTGCAAGCAAATGACTGACGCCATCAGGCCAGAAGAATAAAGCCAAACTTCTGTTAATGGTAACGTGAGTGTAAGTGAGCGAATCGCAAATACGTACAAAAATTAGGCTCAAGTAAAAAAACTAATCTTAATGTTTGCATGCAAGTTGTTTTTGTAAGATAATGGAGTAATAGACGACTTAATCAGCTCTGTAAATTAATGTCAATTAATAGTCTTCTTGCATTACAAATGCATTTTTTAATCTTTAGTAAAAAAGTATAATGAAAGAATTTTATTTTAAAGTACGCACTGAAATTTACAGCACCTATTTAATGTACTTTAAATGGTTTCTTATAGGTGTACCTAATAATATCTTCTTAAATAAGACTTCTCATTTAAAAGGACGCTGAATAAACTAATTAAATTTAAATAATAATAATGTAAATTACCATCAGAGGTACTGCATATATACATGCGCACCATACACAATTTACAGAGCCAACATTGGGAGGATGTAGTAGAACATAAAAACAGGATTTTTGCTCTTTGCTTTGTTGGGCTCTCTGTCCAGACAACAGCTCTGCCCTTTAAATCCCAGTTCCCACATCACTGATCAGAGAGCACTGGTTTTATGCATTGCTGTATTTTTTATTTTTATTGTGATTTGCTTCTAAGACTTTGGTGGACAATGTTTAAGCAGCAAAAAGTAGTAAAAAAAAAAAAAGCAGCAATATTTTAAGAACATGCATGAACAAAGCCAAAGAGTCACAGGTACAGCAACGAGGAGGATGAACAGAGTTAACGGAGCCGACTTCCTGAGACACTCGAGCAACACTTACAAAAACATGCATTTCTAAGGAGACACTGTTGAATCCATTATATGTAAATGTGAGACTTGCATAATATGAGGTAATGGGCCAACAATTGTGCGTTTAAAAAACAGAAATATTGAAAAAAAATAATTGGGTGGTGGTGATGGGGTTAAGTGGGAAGAAAAACAAACAGAAAGACAGACTTTTGCTCCATTTTCCAACCCTGCGTGGTTTGGAAAATGGGAGCTTTTGATGTTAACATGTACTTATGATTTTTACTGTTGTAAGCAAGAGCCCCCGCTGAAGCTACCAGGAAATCGCAGCCAGCCAGGACAATTCACGACTACGGAAAGTCGACTTAAAGACAAAGCCTACGAGTGGACGGAGACTCTGCGGAACACCACAAGATCTCAACCATGGCTGTTTGATGGATGGCTCGGTCTCACAAATGTGCCCATTACACTCCACTACCTCCCATTTGTGAAGCTCTGGTTCATGAGGAAGCAAACAAATGAGACGAGGAGACGCACAGTAAACGAGAGAAAAGATAAAAAGCCTCCTCAGAACATTTTAACTTTTTAAAATATTTTAATGTAAGTTATATTCAGAATGTAACAGTGAACTTCATAAACTTTGCTGCACTCTTTTTTCCCCCCAGGAGGTTAAACCAGTCCAGTGCTCCAGCCGTGGCACATTCTAGTTATTTATACCTGGAAAGTGAATTCTCTCACTGATCTCCAATTATCTTTAGTTCCAGTGGTCTGTCAGTATCCAGCTCTCCTTTCTATGGGATGAAAAATGCTATCACCTCTCAGCAAGGCCAGCCAGGAGACTGCCGTAGGGTGAGGCGTTCTCTCTCCTTTCCATCCCTCATAAATCAACTCATATCCACCCAACTACAACTCTTCTCCCTTTTTTGCTGGAAATACAGCACTGACAGGTAGAAGCTTCAGGCGGGACTTTGAATATCAGCAGCAGCACTGAAATATGGCTTCAAGATGCATTAAAAGGAAAAGGTGCTTTTGTCTATATCTTTACAGATATAGACAAACTTTACATTTCAAATGCATCCATCCATTTTTTAGCTCTTTGGGTATGTGACATATGGACCTGGGGTTATCCGGGTCTATGCAGCCATTCTGCAATGTGCTGACAAATTTATTCGTATTCAAAAAGCTAGAAAATTGCACGATTACTTGCAACAAATCAACCAACATAAAAAAGGATCCGATTTTAGAGTAATTTTTGCCTTGTTTGGTCAACAGAATTCACTCATTCTGTTCCAAGCTGAGGCTCCATCGTAAAACAGGCCTCAGGCTAAAGGCCCAGCCTGAACCTGACATTAAAAGGCCATTTAAAATCGGGACACTGTCTGATTTGCCACAGTGATGAATGCCTAACCTAGGCCGGGACTTCTGTGAAACACTAAACTCCCCTGAGCAGCAAATGAGCTCTGACTGTTTCTTTTTATTTGATCCCATTTCATTTGGTTGCATCCCTTCCCATCTGTCTGGTTCAATTATGTGGCCGTTAAAGAGATCTTTTAGTAGGTAGCCGCTGGTCGAGAAGGGAAAAGGAATTCTGGGAAGACTTAAGAACTTTGAGTTGTGCCAAATTTTAATGATAAACTTAATCTTTAGTGCCGAGTTCTAAAGACTGACGCACAAATTAACCACAGCATGGTTTGTCTGACTGGGAGCTCCGAGTCCTACAGTAGGTTTAAGTCCTTATGGCCTCTCACTCATCCCTCTCCCTCTGAGAGCAGCACAGAAAAGGTCATCACCCTCTTCCCAAACAGGAAGCCCCATCAAAAGAGGATCATGTTTCTGCACAAGCCAGTGAAGAAGAGGGCAGCCAAGTGGACGGCAAGCCCTCTCCGGAGCAACTCAGCTCAAAGCTCCGAAACATACAGTATCCTAAATGTGCCCATGGCCCACGGAGGTGGACTAAGCTCAGCAGGGATGAAGTTCTCACTCTCAGCATCACAACTCCTCGCCTCTGACCCAAGGCTGCAGGGCAAGACACCGGCGACCACTGCAGTCACCACCTGAGGGGTGGGCTGCTCTGCTCGCCAAAATCAAACAGTGCGAGTAAACCAAAGCGTGATCCGATGTTAGCTTCTCAGTGTCAGGCAGTGCTCTCGATGTGGATGGAAGTGATCTGTGTTAGCTTTATAATTAAGACCAGTTGCTTTCTTTTGGCTGGTTTAGAATAGCCTGGCATAAATATTTATTCCTGGCGGCTGGAGAGGATAAAAATGGTGGGAGTCATAGGTGGAGCTCAGCAAACATCCAGAATCCAGGGCTTGCCCTGTGATGCAAATACCCCTAAGGACTACTGTGCCAGACTGCGTTGCAGCAGAGATCAAATGCGAAGGCCCTCGTGTTGCATTTATTGTCTTCAGGTCTTCCATTTTTCCTAATAAATGAGTGACAGCTTGAGGTGGGTCTGGGTACTTTAGTAGACTCTTTGTATTTTTCCCTCGGGTCAGAGAGGAGAGGGCTTTAACAGCAATCTGAAAGACGCAGGGGAGAGCTGTGGAGCATATCTAATTGCTTTCATATGCCGTATTATTGGTTGATTTAAATAACGACAGACACAAGGGGCACCGGGGGGCATCGCCTTTAACCTCCGTGTGGCCCTGGCCAAGACTAACTGGCTGCTTGGCTGGGTTACTGAGTGGCTCGGCGCCCAGGACACTACCAGCACAGAACATCAAAAGTGTATTTAATTTTTAATCCCCCTATTGTCCCTCTGATGTATCCTCAGTGACCTGGAATTTGTTTTTTGGGTTTTACTCTCGCTTTAAATGCTGCACAGACAAAGATATAGAGATGCCAAATGTCTTGCCACTAGTCCTGTAACAGGAAAGCCCGTCGTGTTATGATGACACGGTTGTTAAGATACAATATCTGGGAATTGGGAAAGGCTCCCTCGGGCCATTCGAGGTCCTGAATAAACCCAGAAACCTCCCTGCAGAGGGAGGGGAGAGTCCACGGGATGTGCATTTACATTTAAACTGCCCTGGTGAAAGATGGTAATGTATACAATTACGCTGACTGATTTACTGGGGAACAAAGATAACCTAAGCAATAAATTCAATGTGGTAGAAATGAACCCGCTTATAGGAGTGGGGCACGTCGTACCGGTCAGATCTTTCTTGAGTTTTCGGAGGTCTTTGGCGAGGTCATCAAACTTAACCTGAGAAGCCTGGAAGACGTTCTGTGGCTCTGGCAGAGGGAACACACTCTTTTCCGTACCAGCATGCTGCAATAATGAAGCAACGTGTTACTTAGGAGACATTTAAAAGCTGTTAAACTTTATTTTTTTTAAAATGATTAATTTACCTCATCAAAATTACGCAAGTAGTATAAAACCACGTAATCCACCAAGTTCATGCGATTGTCCTGAAGAAAGAAAACAGCAAAACAGACAATTAAGATAAAGGGCATGAATCAGCTCACTAGGATATTACTCTACTTTTATAAGACTTTAGAGCCTTTAACGGTTTTACCCGGCTCTTGACGTCCTTTAGCTTGGGGAGGATCTCCAGCCCAAAGCCATCAGCCTGCCCTCTCGTCCTGTTCCCTCCATTCATATAGTTCCCAAAGGCCAGAACGAGACCTATTATATCCCGCAAACTGTTGCAATCAAGCAACTCCTGACATTGACAAACACAGTTTGTTTGGGGTTAGTTCTTGTAGGCGGACACTTTTTAAGCAGTTTGTTGTCGTGACGTTCTTACTTTGCTGACGTTGGAGATGATCTCCACCTTGCGACGTATAGAAGAGACGGTGTCGAGGAATACCGACTGGAAGATGATGCATCGGGCTCGGCTCGCAAAGTCCGGAGTTTGAGAGAGTTCATAGAGAAACCTGAAAAACAAAAGGGGAGGAGGGGCAGAGAGAGGATGAGAAGGAGGTGGAAGAGTATGGGATGTGATGTGTTATGACAGAATTAAACAAAACGTCTAACAGGAAGAACTATTTTGGGTCCTTGGCAGGCCCAGCTTCCCCACGCAGGCTGACTGAGTCAACGTTGCTGTTCGCAGGCAGCTGCTAGTCATGAGCCGCGCTGCTCGGCTGGGTTTGAAAGGTCCGCGGGGTCGGGTGGAGGAAAGCGGCGAGCGGCGCACGGAGACTGATCAAAGGTAGCTCTGGCCTGATGCGGGACGACTTATGTAAACAGTGCAGTGTCGGAGGGGAGCGGAGTGGAGTGGTAACATCCTGTGTGATTAGACCCTGCTGATGGAGGTAGACACTGAGTAGGGATGACTCAGGAGGCTATAGTGACAGCTCTGGTCAAACATGGAAATAGGAAGGCCAGGCTGAATGGCACCGCTGGATCCAGGCCTCGTTAACTGGCTGGACTGCTTAACCCTGACAAAAACTACTGAACAGTGTCCATTAATGCACATTTTTGCACGTACGCAAAGGCTATGTAAAAATGCACACTTTGTGCAGAAACTAATGACGAAGCCCTGAGATAGATATCCATAGCTCCACATCTCTGTATCCTTTCACACATAATCAAATTGGTGAGAGCTGATTCAAAACAAAATCTTACTGTTCAGGTTTGTCCAGCAGTTTCACTTCGTCTTCTTTGGATGTCTCATAATGTCTCGTTATCTTTTCCATCTCGTCACTGGTGGCCCTCTATGGAGAGACAATGCAAAGGTCATTACAAAGATGTGGCTCAATACTGTGATGAAATATACGTGATTCAACTTTTTGTTAGAGAAGATTTTAAGATGCATCTGTATAGAAACCTTATTTGCTTCGGTAACACCATTTATAGTGGGGGAAATATTGATATTCTGTATCTCGCCATTAAAATGAAGCTAACAGAAAATTTTTTTTAAGAGAAAAGTCGAATGATAATTTCCCCTGATGTAGGTGTTATCTAGTTTTATTTTAAACTTGTCACACACACGCTACTTACGTTTTCATATAAAGCCTCAATTGTCTCCAAATCCACCACAGAATTGTCCACATTAAGAACAGCTGGAAAAGATAACAGAAGCAGTCGGTGTTATAAAGAACAGACCCACAACAGCCCTTTAATTTACTTACAGGCTGAATAATGGAACATTACATTTGTGGCAGCTTTATAGAGCCTATATTCATATTTGGCAGAAAAAGATTTCCCAAACCAGTAAAACAAAGAATGACATTAAAAAAACAAAACAAGTGAAGTGCATAACTCAGTTGCCATTTAACTGAATTATACACCTAATTTACAATATTAGCTTGAGGTAGTAAAGCTGGGAGTGTGGCCAGGCTGAGCACACTTGAGTCTGAGACCGCAGATGCTGAGTGTACGCCGAAGCTCCTTTCCCCCCTCTTGTCGTGGACAAGCGAACTGGGGGACGAAGCCCATCAGCACGGCAAAGAAAGGAAAGCCTGAAACTGCTTAACCTCAGAGCTCACAGCTAGAACCTCCAACAGCCAACTAATGAGTTTGAGGTGGGCAGTAGATGGTGCACTAAGGAAAAACAAAGGATGCCGGAGCAGATAGGAAGTGAATGCAACAGGCAATCGTTTAAAAGGTTTTTGTACGTTCGAGTGTGTAAACAGAAGGCAAAAGGAAACGATCACAGAAAGAGACCGTGTCGTAGGTTTATAGCTTAGTGATGCACGTAGAAGTGGGTACGGCCAACACTGCTTTTGGATCAGCTCATGGTTGTCTGGTCGCTGTCAGCCGAGAAGGTCTGTGCACGACCTGCTCCTCTGAAATGCGCTACTCAGTTGCCGTGGCCACAGAGGACACGCGTCAATCAGTCGCAAACTAATATCAGCAATTTATGCTGCAAATTTAAGCTAAAGTTTGCAAACATTTGCCATCATAAACTACACAACATACCACATCAGCTAAACCTGCTGAAATTTACAAAACTTATGACACTTATTTGACCCAAAAGAAGAAACATCATAAAATCTAGTTTACATGTTTCTGCTGGACTACACGGCTGCTTATTCATCCTGATTATTTTGGTGTGAGCTGCTCAGAATCTGGTGTCCTTGTCTTAATTATACTGAAACCAATGGAACTAAAAAGGCACTTCTGATTATCAAAACACATTAAAAACCAAACAAAAAAACAAAAAAAAGGTCTTTAGAACAGATTTCTTTCTTTTTTTATCAGTTGAATGTCTCGTGTATTAAACTTGCACAGGTAATGTTAACAATTTTGGCCAGCGACTACTTCCACCTAACAAGGTAACAATTTGCGTTCTGGTTCCCAGCTGTTCTGTTGCAGAGAAGCTGTCAATGTGGTCCCGGCGTCTGGATCAGAGAAAACGCTGGAGGTCCATTTCCTACATCTTATTAGAGTGGATTATTCAGTCCCTCAGCCACGCAGCCGTCAATCACCCACCAAAGGGGGGCCTGCTTCAGTGTGCACAGGAGCACTCTGATCCGAGGGGAGCCGGATATCTCTCCACACCGACAGATCAAAGCGTGCCTGCCAACGGCTTCACACCCTCTCCTTCCACTTTTCACTCGTGTATGTGTGTGTGTG